GGTAATTATTTTGGGCAGAGGGCTGCTTACTGAGTTTTGGCAAGCCATTGAAGGCCACATGCCAGGCAGCCAGGCGTAGATATATATTAATTTTCTAATTTTTTTTTAGGGGCCCCGCAGGCCGGATAGAATGGCCTGGCAGGCCGCATTTGGCCCACCCCTGCCCTAAGGGTTCTGGGGCATGAGAAGGGCTTCCTAGGTACCACATCAGTACAGATAAGAAACGGCAACAGGATAATTAAGAATTTCTAGCCATGCTGCAGCCCCAGCCATGAGCCACCTTCCCATGTTGCTATGAAGATGGTTGTGTCTTCCCGTGACACAGGCAGGGTCTTGTCCTCGCACGTACACCGCAGTTAGAGCCTCCGGGGTCCGCAGAGGAGGTTGGGGTAGGATCTGGCCATTAGGAAGGCCTGAGTTTGCAATTGTCTGTGATCTAAGTCAACAGGCAGCGAGCCCAATGTCACTACAGCAGAACAGCAAGAGCATGCACAGGCCAGGTTTTAACAAGTAAATCTACATAAAAGCTTTCTCTGGAAGTGATTACTTAACATAACCACCAGCTGTCTCCCTGTTTCTTGCTGAGGCAGCGTATCATCTCATCATTATTCATTGAAAAAACTTTGTTTTGTCTATAGGGTAAGAAAAGTTTCAGAGAAATAATATTACCTGACAGACTGAGATGCCAAGTTTTTGGTTTATTTTTTTTCCCAAGCATGTTATTCATGTCCTTAAAGGAGAAGAGCACCAACTACCTTGGATGATGGTAGGGGTTACCTGACCAAAGTCCCTGCCGCTCCAGCCAGGCCCATCCCATCCTGAGCAGCACATGACTCCACCACCGCTTCTGCTGGCTAGTGCCAGGCACCACGGTGAGTGAAGCCATGCTGGCAGGCGGGCGGGTGAGGGGCTGCGGTGTAGTGGCCGCCTTGCTCCAGCCCCCCTCAGGCAGCGCTGGCTCGTGGGGCTGTGCTGCTCAGGGGATGGAGATGTGGAGCTATTTATTCCTCCCCTTCAGTCTCTGGGGCAGTAGCCTGGATGCAGAACGGGTCCCTCCTGCCCCTGCCCAGCAGCAGCTACCATGAACCTTGCAGTAACAGGCAGGTGCAGTAGGGCTACACAGGCAGGGTCTCTCTGGCCCAGGACAGAGGGTGTTTGAATATGGCTCGCCGGCCCACTGGGTGATAAAAAGTTCATGATCCGGCCCTACATTCAAAATGGTTGGACACCCCTGGGTTAGACGGTAATGATGACAGAAGGGGTTAGGCAACACTTTTAAGGCCGTCTGTGCACACAGAGCCTTCATTGTCTATCTACAGTATCTATTGCCAGCCTTTGTCAACCTCCCAACTCATCAGATTGGCACTGCTTCAAAAACAGGACCTTTAGCAGTCAAATATTTACTACTGTACGAAAGCATTACACCAGTCACAAAGACAGCCTTGTAACTGGATAAGGTTATGCTGCCGCCCAACCCTCCTGGGAACTGCAGGGCTGTAAGTGCCGGCTAAGCCAGGCAGTGGTGGCCCATATAGACGGGCTGCATGGAGGAGTCCGTCCAGGGAACCCAAGGAAGGGCACTTGAAGGCTCATCCAACAGCTCTCCCAACTATATAGCTGGGCCAATAAAATAAAGCACAAGAAATCACGTCTCATATATAGAGACACTCAGGAGCATTTATCTGAATCGGTGTTAAGTGGCCCAACCAAACATAGATGTTTAAACTTCATTAAACACCCATATGAACACTCTTACTCAGAATTAAAAAATGGAATTAAGGCCACTTCAATTCTGAATAAGGATGACCACACATGCGTTTAGGGCCAGATCCAATACAGCAGCATGTCTCAACCCATGGGTCGCAACCCAAAAGTGGGTCGCAAGAATATATGACAGGGTCGTGAACAAACTTTAAAAATGGATCAACAAACTTTAAAAATGGATTCTTTTTCAACGGGGAAAATCATGGGAAACCATGGCTTTTCCCTGGCAGTTTCCCTGCCCCACACACCCACCCCCTGGCCCACACACTGGGGGGCTGGAGCCTGGGGGTAGTGGGTTGGGCATGAGGGGCACTGGGTTGGGACTGGCCACTGAGGTTTACAAATGGGTCCTGGTAGAAAAATGTTGAGAAGCACTGCAATAAAGGATTAAATGCTACACCACCTCACTGTCATGCATCTGTCTCCCAGAGTGGAATCCAGAACCCCAAGTTGGTCCTCAGGCTCCCTAACCAATGCCACGAGCGGTTTAGGTGCTTCAGAAGGACGATGAAGAAAAAAAAAGTCTATCTAGAGTTAGCCAAAAGGGAAGACTAAGCACAGGAGAGTGTCCAAACTTCAGGCCCTCTCCAGCTTGGCCACCTGAATCAGAGTTGCACGTAGATGCTTCCATCTACTGAGGGGCAAGACATTTTTGTGATATCTTTACTGGACCAACTGCATAGTTGGGAGAGCTGAAGAAGCTTTTGGGCATCAGGTGCACTTCCTCAGGTCTGAAGGGTTCTAAAGACCTGATGTTCAAAAGCTTGTCCAACTAATCTCCCAAGTATACAGAAGCCTTACCTCTCAGACCTGCCCAAGCTACAATACTGCAACCCTACTCCATGCATGCAGGAATCAAACCCTAGGACCCCTCTTGAGGGCCGGAGCTGAATAGTGGTGTTTGAAAGAATGGAGCAAAGATCATCCAATGCCATTGTCACCCCCCTTTATAGTTAGACTAAAGCATTCACCCAGGAAATGGGAAACTTGGGTTTAATGTTCTCCTCAGCCTGAGTGGGTACAAACCCCTGTCTCCTGTCTCCCAGGAGAGCACCCTCGCCCTTCATGATATGACAAGGGGCACTGTCCAGCCACCGTGAACTCGAGAGTGAGGGAGTTATGGTGTCTGAGAGAGAGACCACACATGCAGGAACGTAGCTCCGTATGCTAGCGGTTAGCGTACTCAGCAGGGAGCAGGTGTAGTGCTGGGCCCCAGTCTTTGCTCCTTGCATTATTTCTTACTTTTATCCAATTATTCTTTGTAACAAAAACCCTAGACCCCCCCCCCAGCCCTGACCTGTTGAGTGCCCAAACTAACCAATGACAGAGCTGTGCTCCCTCTTGTTCTTTGTCTTCCCGGTCCTGTATGTCTTGCTTTCCTTTCTGCCCAGTGACAAGAGGGGAGTCAAGCATTCTACCCAGGCAAACGCACACCCTGATGGTTAGGGCACTCAACCGGTAGATGGCAGATCTGGATTCGAGTCCCTTCAGACCGAGGGAGGCTCAAAACTCAGATCTCCCATGCCCTGGGCACTGCCCTCCTGGCAGCTATTACATAAAAGCGGATGATCACACCACTGCCAATGCTTTAAAAAAACAAAATGGCCAAATGGTACTTTGTCAGGGACCCTGAGCATACATGCTGGATCAGACCTCCCAGGGGACTTGGATGCTGCTCTGCCTGGTCCCTAGATCTGATCTGGCTTAGGCAAGAGTTGGTGCCCAGTAGCTTCAGACTGCGTGTGGGCACAAACAGAACAGCTGGTGCCTGGAGAATTTTTAAATGCGACTGGGAGGAACAAAGAAATTTCAAACACTTCCAGGATAAGGCAGGAGCTAAAGAATGATGGTCTGGGTCACAATTTTGGGTGTGGATGTCTAATGTTTACCTCGGTCTGTTTTAGTGCCCAAGACCTTTTCCAGATTTAGCTCTTAATATGGTTAAACTAATCTGCTTTAAAAGTTAATTCAGATTCACCTTCCCCAAGTGCTCCTGTGTAGACAACTCCTAAGGGAGAGGAGCTAAGACAGAGAACTCCTAAGAAGAATTGTTAAGGACCAGGAGATAGAGGTTTAGTGCAAGCAATGGTTTAACCTGAACTGCTGGTCAAAAGGGACTGTAAAGCACCTCTTGTTTTTAGCATGGGGGTAGATTTTAGACTGATATTTTCTACAGGACTTATGAGGAGTTTTCAGTGTGAACAAAGCCCGCTGGGAACTGGGATGGAGCTTGGATCCATCTCAATTACTCTAAGCTCTTTGAGGTCCTTCCGTTGTGCATGTCCCATGTGCAAACCAGGAGCCCTGTATGTTATTGAAATGCACTGAATAATGTTATCAAGGATACACAGCAGATTCCTTCTAACCTGTGTTCTGAAAGTTATTCCTTGAATTAAAGTCTTTGGCGGTTTTTGAAAGAGCAGTATTCTCCTCCCCACGCATTTCCAAATTCTGAGAACATTTTAACCACCGTCTTGTTGCTTGCCTGCTTTTGAGGGGAAGGTTTTGGAAGGGTGTTTATGTTACAGAAAAAATGGCTGATGCCTGAAATTTGGCAGAAGCAGAATCTGTGTTAAGGAATATAAAAGCCTTTCCTAAATTTGGGGGGGAAGGGGAAGCAGGGGGCAAAATAATTAACTAGTTGATAAGAAATTGGAAGTGTCCCTGGTGGGAATTACCTGAAGTACTATGGCTAGCTGAGCATATGGTAGATGTTTCAAAACACTGTTAAGAAACACATCTGTCTAAGCACTGTTCTATGCAGGTGTTTTATTTGGGGGGGGGGGGG